AACCAGGAGGAGGAGGACACAGAACTAGAGGGAATCAGGGAAAACCATACAACAGCAGGACCCATCAGCTGCACTGGAGCTTGATCAAAATGAAGGAAGGAACTCAATGGCAGTGATGGGAAGGAGGGAACAGTGGGAAAGAGGGAACAGCTGATGCTATGCAAAACAAAAGAAATGTACGTATCACCCAATGTGGAAGAAATAAGTATTGCAAAGCCCATAGAACTCATAAATGTTATAGACCATGATAGACAACTTGCCCCATGAAAGTCAGAACATGTTTGTGACTTTAACTATCCTACAATACTGTGAAATTTGGGGAATTATGTAACCACTTAATCACAATAAAGAATTTGGAAAAAAAAAAAAATGTAATCATACCAAACCAGTATGTTGAAATAGGCCAGGTGTGGTGAGGGATGCCTGTAATCCCAGCTACTGCGAGGCATAGGTACTAAGATCACCATCTAATACAAACCCAGGGAAAAATGTGAAAACTTATTTTAAACAACTAAACCAAGAGGACTGAAGGCAAAATTCATGTGGTAGAGTCCCTGTCTAGCAAAGGCAAAGCCCTCAATTCAAATTCCATACTACCAAAAATAAAATACAGTTCCAGGTATGATGGCACCTATAAGGGGAGGCTGAAGGCAAGAGGAAGCCAAGGCAACTTGGAGGTCACCCTGGCCTCAAAAACAACAACAAAACCTCAAACACAAATACAGCACAGATGAGGATACTATATGGGATCCCATAATATGGAAACCTAACTTGGTTTTGACCTTAAGAGTGAGGAGGAGCTTGCTCAAGCATGGAATGAAGGTCTGGAAAGCCACTGGGGTTATTATTAATTTTGTGTGTGTGTGTGGGGGGGGGGCAATCCTGGGGCTTAAACTCAGGGCCTGGGCACTGCCCCTGAGTTTTTGTGCTCAAGGTTAGTACTCTAGTATTTGAGACACAGCTTCAGTTCTGGCTTTTTTTGTTGGTTAATTAGAGATAAGACCCTCACAGACTTTCCTGCCTGTTGCTGGCTTCCAATCTCAACTCTCAGATCTCAGCCCCCTGAGTAAGTAGGATTACAGGTGTGAGCCATCAGCACTTGGCCACACCTCTGGAATTTTAAGTGGAGAAATGATACTGTCTAACTTAACAGGATCCTGGTAGATGGAAAATGGATGGGATGAGAATTTAAGTAGCATCATAGGGAAAATATTGTGGTAGACCAAGGAAAGGATGATGGTGGCTTAGAATAGGTTGGTAGCAGTGTAGAAAAGACAGGTTTGACCTATATTTTGGAGGTAAAAGTTACAGGACTTATTGAAAGGTTGAGAAAGAGGAGTAAGAAAAAATAATCAAAGACGATTCTTGGAGGTTTGGTTTTAGTAATCATGTGGACGTGAATACTACCTGTGAGATGGGGAACACTAGGTTTGGAATGATGAGAAACCATTAATTTTCTTTTGGTTATGTTAGCTCTGGGTTGCCTAGGACATATCCAAGTGTAGATAATTAAGCTGGTATTCTGATATTATAATTCTGGAGCACAGAGAGCAAACTGGCCTATAATATTTAAACCCAGGAGTTGCCAGCTTTGAAATGGTAAAGTCCTAAAGGAGGATTCAGCAACAAACCCTGAGAAAAATCCAACATTTTGATATTGGATAGAGAAGAAAAAGTGTCTAATAAAGTAAACTGAAGGACTCAGGAGGCTGACACAGGAGGATTGCAAGTTTGAAAACGGCTTGGGCTATGTATACAGCAAGACATTGTCTCAAACAAACTGAAAAAGAACAGTCAGACAAATGAAGAAAATGTAAGGGTAAAATGTCAGTGAAGACAAGATAGAATTATTTTTAAAAAATCAGTTATGGGGCTTGAGCTCTGGGCCTGGGCACTGTCCCTCAGCATTTCAGCTCAAGGCTAGTGCTCTACCACTTGAGCCACAGCACCACTTCTGGCTTTTTCTGCTTATGTGGTGCTGAGGAATTGAACCCAGGGCCTAATGCATGTGAGGCAGGCACTCTTCCCAGCCCGACAAGAGAGAATTTTAAGAAAGGAAGCCAGGTTCTGGTAGCTTAAGCCCTGTACTCCCAGTTATTCAAGAGGCTGAGATTAAGAGGCTGAGGATCAAGGTTCAAAGCCAGCCCAGGTAGAAAAGTCCATGAGACTTACCTCCAGTCAACCACCAAAAGCCAGAAGTAGAGCGGTGGATCAAGTGGTAACATACTACCTTGAGCAAAAAAGCTCAAGGATAGTGCCCAGGCCCTGAGTTCAAGCCCCAGTAAAGGTACACACAAAAAAAGCAGCTGTTAGATTCTTCAGATACTGAGGAAGATGAGAACAACACAGAAGTCACTGATGACCCATAAAAGCAATCTCCATGGACTGAGAAAAAAGTCAAATTAGTATACTTTGAAGCATGAATACAAAGTAAGAAAGTTGAACTGGCACAGGTAGACATCTGGTTATGAAGGGAAATTTTAAAACTTAAGATAATGAAACCAGGTACACACCTGTCATTCCAGCCTCAAACTACCCAACAAAACTTTGTCTCAAAAGAAAAAAAGGATGATAGGTGGGGTGCTGGTGGTTCACCCTTGTAATCCTAGCTACTCAGGAGGCTGAGATCTGAAGATTAAGGCTCAAAACTAGCCTAGGAAAGAAAATCCATGACACTGGGCTGGGAAGGTAGCTCAGTGGTAGAGTGCTTGCCATGACACTTTTTTTTTTTTGGGGGGGGGGGGGTGCAATCCTGAGGGTTGAATTCAGGGCCTGGGCACTGTCTGTGATCTTCTTTTGCTCAAGGCTAGCACTCTACCACTTGAGCCACAGTGCCACTTCCAGCTTTTTCTGTTTATGTGGTACTGAGGACTTGAACCCAGGGCTTCATGCATGCTAGGCAAAGACTCTACCATTAAGCCACATTCCCAGCCCCTGTGACACTCTTATCTCCAATTAACCACTATAAAAACTGGAAGCGGCGCTGTGGCTCAAGTGGTAGAGTGATGGCCTTGAGCAAGAATTCAGGTACAAGCACCAGAGTCCAGGCCCTGAGTTCAAGCTCTATGACCGACTGGAGCCACCCCCCGCCAAAAAAAAAAAAAAAAACGGATGATATTTGAAGATACATGTGAAGGAGTGAGGGATACCAGAATTGAATTGAAATGTTGAGAGATATTTCTTGGTGATTGACTATATTGATTCACTATTGATTACAGTGACATTTCTGAGACCAAGAACACAGAAGCAAGGGCAAAGTTATTTGCCTCCAAAGATCAGGTTTCCATCACAATAGGTGAATTTTTTTTTTTGTGAAGGAGGCCTTCAGGAGAAAAGATTGTAAATGCTAATTCCTCATTGTACCACTTTCGGATGTGATTAATGCCACCAGATTAAAGCCTCTTAGAGTATAATACTTAACTAATCTAATCTGAAGCCACACAAGTCAACTCAATAAAATTAACTTGAAGCTGGAAGAGGGTCTTAAATTCACAGCTGATAGGAAAGCAATTATGCTTCCTTATTCTATTCTATTCTATTTATTTTGCCAGTCTTGGGGCTTGAACTCAGGGCCTGGGCACTGTCCCTGAGCTTCTGCTCAAGGCTAGCACTCTACTTGAGCCACAGCGCCATTTCCGGCTTTTTCTGTTTTCTGTTTATGTGGTACTGAGGAATTGAACCCAGGGCTTCATGTATGTTAGGAAAGGACTCTCACTAAGCCACACATTCTCAGCTTTAATTTTTTTTTTTTTAGGCACAGTCTAAGTAGGCACCCTAGTCTAGCTTCAAACTGATGATCCCTGTCTCAGTTTCACTGAAGACTAAGGAACTGTCAATTTCAAGTCCACATGGCACTAAACGTTTCTTCCAAAGAAATAAACCAAATGTTATTGTTCATAATCGGCTTAGATTTAAACTCTCTTGACACTTCTGCTATCACAAGGGATTTCCATGTAAGTATTTTCAGAGACCTTAAACCTCTTCCTAAAGGAAAGTAAGTATCCATTCGAGTGACAATCCAGGGAAACAACTTCTTAAACTAGTTCAAGGGAGAAAAAGGAACAAACTGTAGAGGATTAGCTTCGACTTGACCCATCCTGATGTTCACAGTTAGGTTTTTGGGGAAAAAAAGGGCTTCAGGTACCTTTACAAGATCTCTGATATTTAAGGTCCAATCTTCTACAAAAAGTTCACCTAATAATACGAGAAGAGCTAAAATTTAGCATGTGCCTCTAGACATACAGCTGAACAGCTGAAATCCCAGTAGGATTCTCATCCCCAGAACAAATTAATTCAATCACCTGATCCCAAGTCACAAGCCCTAGATCCCTTCCATTCCCAATTCTTTCTAGTGGCCCAGTTTCCAGAAGATGCGAGAGAAGGCTGGGATCCTAGGAAGCCTGTTGATTCAACCGGCAACTCCAATTCACAGGTCCCGGGTGTTACTGCGTTGAAACTAGCCTTGAGATTCTAAGAAAACTACCCGGCTTCCCTTCCCCCCTCCCCCCTCCGCAGAACAGGAAAGGCCAGGGGCCCCTTCTTCCCGCAGACGGCTCCCCAATACCTCTTCCCTTACGGGACCAGGCCCTAGGAGTCCTGTCCCCACCTGACCCATGGGAGAAAAACACTCTCCAAGGCAAACTTTACCTGCTTGAAGGCCGCCGCTCCCACCGTGCACTGAACCCCCACCGAGGAAAATGGAGTCGTCGAACCGAGACTGGGAAAGGATAGTACGGACCCACCGCACGGCCCCTCCGCCGCCACCGTCGCCGCAGCTGCGTAACGTCCTACGTCACTTCCGGCTCGCTGTCACTGGGAGTGGGTGGACCACTTGCTCTCTTTTCCACCTGACTCTGGCAGGGGGTGGAGTTTGTTCTTCGTCCGTCCCAAAGGTCAGAAAGCTGGCACAAAAAGTGCTTCAGGAAGACAGCTGCCGTAATTCACGGCAACCTGACCGGGGTTGCTCCTCCGGCCGCTCTGCTAAGGGAACCCTACAGATGAAATGAGGACTTCCTTCTCCCCGTGGGTCCGCCCTCCGCTTCCGGTTCCGGGGAGGGCCAAGCTTTCTTGGAATTGTAGGGGCTCAGTGATCCGGTGAGGATGGTTGTCGTGCCGCTACTGTTGTTGGGAGGTTTGTGGAGCGCCGTGGGAGCGTCCAGTCTGGCTGTGGTCACTTGCGGCTCCGTGGTGAAGCTCCTCAACACGCGCCACAACGTCCGACTGCACTCACATGACGTGCGCTATGGGTCAGGTACTTGAGGGACGGGACTGGATTCTGGGTGGGCTGCAGAGGCCCCGGTTAGCCTTGTAGGGGGCGGGGTTTCAGAAAATCCGAGGGGCGTGGCCTTGGAAGGTTAGGGGTGTCCTCGGGAGGTTCTTGAGGTCCAGAGTGGGTGAAGGGGAGAACTGAGTTCTAAGGCAACTTAAACCTAATATTAGTTTACGTTTGGTGAGCCTACGTGCCAGGCATGTTATCTATGTACTTTCAGTTTTTAAATTCCAAGAGGGTAGATACTATTGTTGCCCGAGTTTCACAGATGTAAAAACACTCAAATTATTTATGAATGACAAAGTTCCATCCAAATCTATCCAAGTTCGAAAACTGCCTTCAGATACTCAGACTGTCACTGTTGAGCGTGGGAGACAGACATGTAGAAGAAAGTTACATTAAATGCAGATTTTTTTTTTTTTTTTGGCCAATCTTGGGGCTTGAATCTGGGCCTGGGCACCTTCCCTGAGCTTCTTTTACTAAGCTCAAGATTAACACTACCACTTGAGCTACAGTGCCACTTCCGGCTTTTTCTGTGTATGTGGTATTGAGGAAACGAACCCAGGGCTTCATGCATTCAAGGCAAGCACTCTACCCTTAAGCCTTAACTGCTGAATTTTTAAGCTTGGCTGTGTGTGGGTAGCTGGGATCAAAACAGAGTCCTTATGTATGCTATGCCAGCACTCCATCCTTGATCTACATTGTCAGCCTTGAATCTTGATATCTTAATATCCAAGAACTCACTCAGATTACACCCTGTCTTCTAGCACTTTTGCATCCTACAGTTGCTGTTTAGCTCTATTTTTTGCCCACTTCTGCCTTTTTTGGCTGTGCTGGAGTTTGAACTTAGGGTTTCTGCTTACCAGCAAAGGGCTATATCAACTTGAACCACTCCTCCAGACTTTTGGCCTCTTTTACTCAAACTTTAACCTCCTTAGAGAGAACTTAAATCTGATAAGTACTGCAGAGGAAAACTGCTTTTTACTGTATGAAATTATAATGCTTAATAGTCAATTTGTAGGCCTGTTCATTCTACATAGACTTAATGAGCTCTTATTTTGTACCTAATTCTAAATATGAGATACAGTAGTAAATCAACCAATTACAAGAAAGACAATAAAAAATAGGCAAAACCAGTTGTGGTTGTGCAAGTCTTCAATCTCAGCACTTGGGAGGCTGAGGCAGGAGGATTGTAGACAACCTAGGCCACATAGCAAGGCTCAACAAAGAGAGTAAGTTCAAGGATTGAGAAATTAGCTTAATAGTAAAAACACTTGTCAAACATATGAGGCCCTGTATTCTACTCCCAGTTCTGGAGAAGAAAAAAAAGTTTAGCTAGTGAGGTATGAGTGGTATCTCAGATAATTGTGTAACTAATGATGCTATTTTCTGAGAGAGGTAGTTTTTTCTGATGGACTAGTTCCTGTTCACAATTACCAAAACCTGGCCTATCAATTAGGACTGAGAAAGATTCAGACATCAATGGGAAGATTTAAAAATCCATTTTAATAATCAATTCTGGGTATTATTTTTGTGTCATTGTGGGGCTTGAACTCAGGGTCTTGGGCCTGTCCCTGAGTTCTTTTGCTCAAGGCTAGTGTTCTACTACTTTGAGTCTTAGCACCACTTCTGGTTTTCTAGTGGTTTATTTGAGATGAGAGTTTCCTGGACTTCCCTTCCTTGAGCTGAACCTCGATCCTCAGATCTCAGCCTCCTGAGTAGCTAGAATTACAGGCTTGAGCCACTGGCACCCGGCCTTCTTTCTTTCTTCTTTTTTTTTTGGCTTGAGCTCAGAGCCTGAGCACTGTCCCTGAGCTCTTCTGCTCAAGGCTAACACTCCACTTGAGCTACAGCATCACTTCCAGCTTTTTCTGCCTATGTGGTGCTCGGGAACCAAACCCAGGGCCTCATACATGCAAGGCAAGCACTCTACCACTGAGCCACATTCCCAGCCCTCTTTAGGTTAGTTTATTGTTATTATAAAGGTGATGTACTGAGGGATTACAATTACATGAGTTAGCAAGTGGTAGAGTGCTAGCCTTCAGCTGAAGAGCTGAGGGACAGCGCTCAGGCCCAGAGTTCAGGCCCCACAACTGACAAAAAAAAAAATTACATGAGTTAGGTAATGGAAACATTTCTTTTTTTTTGGGGGGGTCCGGTCGTGGGGCCTGAACTCTGGGCCTGGGCGCTGTCCCTCAGCTCTTCAGCTCAAGGCTAGCACTCTACCACTTGAGTCACAGCGCCACTTCCAGCTTTTTTCTTTTTGCTTATGTGGTGCTGAGGAATCGAACCCAGGGCCTCATGCATGCAAGGCAAGTGCTCTACTACTGAGCCACCTTCCCAGCCCTTCTTTTTTTTTTTTTGTCTGTTGTAGGGCTTGAACTCTGGTCCTGGGCCTTGTCCCTCAGCTCTTCAGCTCAAAGATAGCGCTCTACCACTGGAGCCACAGTGCCACTTCTGGTTTTCTGGTGGTTTATTGAAGATAAGAGTCTCATGGGGGATTGAGAAGGTGGCTCAGTGGTAGAGTGCTTGCCTTGCATGCTTGAGACCCTGGGTTCGATTCCTCAGCACCACATAAGCAGAAAACGCTGGAAGTGGAGCTGTGGCTCAAGTGGTAGAGTGCTATCCTTGAGCTGAATAGCTGAGGGACAGCGCCCAGGCCCACAGTTCAGGCCCCATGACCAACAAAAACAGAAAAAAAAAAGTCTCATGGACTTTCCTGCCCAGGCTGGCTTTGAACCGGAGTCCTCAGATCTCAGCCTCCTGAGTAGCTAGGATTACAGGCATGATCCACTGACCCCCAGCTTACATTTCCTTTTGTACAATGTCTTCTGTTCTTTCACTCCTTCCCATCTTTACCCATTTTCTTTTCTTTTTTCTGTTACCATGTTTGACTCAGGGCCTTGCTTGGCTGGCACTCTATCATTTGATTTATGTGTGTGCGCATCTGTGTAATACTAGGGCTTAAACATACAACTTTTTGCTCTCCCTTGGCTGGCACTCTACCACTTAAGCCACACCCTCACTTCTGGCTTTTTGCTGGTTACTGAACTGGTTTTGACCCCCCTCCTCAGACAACCACCTGAGACCAGCTTTTTGTTGCTGGCTAGCTTCAAACTGCAGTCCTCTGAATTGCAGTTTCCTGAGTAGCTAGGATTACAAACATGAACTTGATCAGGTTTTATACTTTAGAGCTAATGAATTAAAATGGAGGTTGAGAGAGGCCTACTTGAAGGAGTCTAGGTTTCAAGTACTCTAAAGGTAGTTCTCATTGGGTGGCCAGATTTAGAAATCAGGTTCAATCTGGAGCTCAGAAGATTCTGAGCTGCAATACAGAGAATACAGATTGCATTGTAAAATCAATTCTGATTTGATATATGCAATATAGAGTTAACTACAGTATCATTGTACAAGTAGTGGTTGAAAATGTGACAGGATTAAATGAAATTACCAGGATAGACTATAATTCTCAATTGGAAAATTGTAGGAAGTGCTGTGTTAATTTTAATTGCTTGTCAAACTTGTTAAAAAATAGAAATGCTTTTGTCTGGACCCCACAACAAACGCCTAAGAATTACTGTTAGAAATAGATGAGGGCCAGGTATAGAATTCTGGAGAGCCGGGTGTCGGTGGCTCACGCGTGTAATCCTAACTACTCAGGAGGCTGAGATCTGAGGATCACGGTTCAAAGCCCAGGCAGGAAAGTCCATGAAACTCTTATCTCCAATAAACCACCAGAAGACAGAAGTGGCACTGTAGCTCAAGTGGTAGAGCGCTTGCCTTGAGCTGGAGAGCTGAGGGACAGCACTCAGGCCTGGAGTTCAAGCCCCATGACCAACAACAACAAAAAAAAAATTCTGGATAACTCCAAATTATGTGGATCAATGGGAGGAAGTAGAGTGTTGAATAGTAGTAGAAAAAGTAGGAGATGAAATATAGATTTAGTAAACTAGGAAGACGCTTTAAGTAACCACACTTAGGGAGAGTTAGTTTGCCTCCTTGTTCCTTTTTTATTATTAAGTTATGAGCTGAGGGCTGGGAAGGTGCCTCAGTGGTAGAGTGATTGCCTCTCATTCATGAGGCCCTGGGTTTGATTCCTCAGTACCATATAAGCAGAACAAGCCATAAGTAATGCTGTGGCTCAAGTGGTAGAGCACTAGCATTGAGCTGAAGAGCTGAGGGACAGTTGAGGGACAGTGCCCAGGCCCAGAGTTCAAGCCCCACGACTGACAGAAAAAAAAAAAAGGTATGAGCTGAGTAAAAGAAGCAGTAGAGAACAACACCTTTATCCAGTTTACTAATAGGAGACATATAGTGTTACATAATAAAAAGGAATCATCCAAAGCTTGTGGTCAGGCAGGGCCATGGAACTGAACACAAAATTGAGGACGGGGAAGCATGAAAAACATAATGAAGGGCCGGGCGCTGGTGGCTCACGCCTGTAATCCTAGCTACTCAGGAGGCTGAGATCTGAGGATCGAGGTTCAAAGCCAGCCCGGGCAGGAGAGACCGTGAGACTCCTATCTCCAATAAACCACCAGAAAACCGGAAGTGGCGCTGTAGCTCAAGTGGTAGAGCGCTTGCCTTGAGCTGAAGAGCTGAGGGACAGCGCCCAGGCCCAGAGTTCAAGCCCCACGACTGACAAAAAAAAAAAAGAAAAACATAATGAAAAAGTAAAGTGTTCAGAGGAACTTAACAGAAAATAAAATTGGAGGAAGAAATATGTCTTTGTTGGATGTGGTGTGGTGGAATGGTTAAGAATGCTAGTTTTGCTGGGAGCTAGTGGCTCATACCTATAATTCTAGCTACTTAGGAGGTTGAGGTCTGAAGATCATGGTTGGAAGCTAGTCCAGGCAGAAAAGTCCATAAAATTCTTTTTTTTTTTTTTTTTTTTGGGTCAGTCGTGAAGTTCGAACTCTGGGCCTGGGCGCTGCCCCTCACCTCTTCAGCTCAAGGTTTGCGTTCTACCACTTGAGCCACAGCGCCACTTCCGGTTTTCTGAGTGGTTTATTAGAGATAAGAGTCTCTTGGCCTTTCCTGCCCTGCCTGGCTTTGAACCGTGATCCTCAGATCTCAGCCTCCTGAATAGCTAGGATTACAAAGGTACTACCAGTGACCAGCAACTCCACATATTCTTATTTGGTACCCTTTGACGTAAATTGTTGGAATTTTCTCATATGGTACACACTTAAGTATAGTTTATCATATGATAATGGGAAATACACTAAATGAACACATTAGTATTTTTTATAAATATTTTGAGTGTTGTAGGAAAAGAAAATTACCAAACATAGCATGTCCTCAGCCCTCCATACTAGTTTTCTGACACAGGATCTTACTGGCCATAGAAAAGAGGAAAAGGTCAGGTTGCACTTCTTTCCCTTTTTTGACTGCAGGTAGTGGACAACAGTCAGTGACAGGCGTAACTTCTGTGGATGACAGTAACAGTTATTGGAGGATACGGGGGAAGACTGCCTCAGTGTGTGAAAGGGGAACTCCCATCAAATGTGGCCAGCCCATTCGGCTCACCCATGTCAACACTGGCCGAAACCTGCATAGTCACCATTTCACTTCACCTCTTTCTGGAAACCAGGTGAGGTGGCATCCAATGGATTATTGCTGCTCTGTATTGCTCAGTTGGTTTGTTGTTTGATCTCCTGGTTTTTAACCCTTTTCCAGGCATAGATGTCTTCCCTCCCTCCCTCCTTCCCTCCCTTCTTTTCCTTCCTTCCTTCCTTCCTTCCTTCCTTCCTTCCTTTCTTTTTATGTCTGTCATGGGTTGAACTCTAGGCCTGAACACTGTCCCTCAGCTCTTCAGCTCAAGGGTAGCATCATTTCTGGTTTTCTGGTAGTTTATTGGAGATGAGTCTCATAGACTTTCCTGTTTGGGCTGGCTTAGAACTGTGATCCTCAGATCTCAGCCTCCTGAGTAGCTAGGATTACAGGCATGAGCCAATGGCGCCTGTCAGATGTTTTCTTTTCTGTAGACATGGAGAAATGACTGTGTCTTATAGTGTGAAGAAGATTGTTTTGGGGAAAAATGGAGACTCTACAACTAGACCAAAGCAAGAAAAGAGGAGGAAAGGAAGAATAGATATATAGTAGCATATCATAAGTGTAATAAATCCTGTAATAAGGACAGTGGTTTCAAACATAATAAAAAAGGTTATTATTTTCAGTGATTATTATTTCTAGTTTATTATTTTCAACTAACACATTGAAAAAAATTAAATATTGTGCTACCTTTTTCTCCTTCTGGTGCTAGAGACCAAATTCCTGACTTAGTACATGCTACTAAGCACATGCTCTACCACTGAAGTACAACCCCAGCCCCCTGTACTAGGGTTTTTTTTTTTTTTGTTGGTTGTGGGGCCTGAACTCTGGGCCTGGGCGCTGTCCCTCAACTCTTCAGTACAAGGCTAGTGCTCTACCACTTTGAGCCATAGCATTACTTCCAGCTTTTTTTTTTTACCTATGTGGTGCTCAGGAATTGAACCCAGGGCCTCATATGTACAAGGCAAGCACGCTGCCACTGAGCCACCTTCCCAGACTGTGTGCCAGTTTCTTGTTGTTTCACAAGATAGAGACTTGGATCTCAGCCTCCTGAGTAGCTAGGATTACAGGTATGAGCCACCAGCATTTAGTGACCTTGACAGTTTTGAGCAGTGCTAGTCAGGTATATTTCTAGACAGATATATTGTTGATATGCTTGTTTTTTGTTTTGTTTTTGTTTTTGCCAGTCCTGGGGCTTGAATTGAGGGCCTGGGCACTGTCCCTGAGCTTCATTTGCTCAAAGATAGCCCTCTACCACTTGAACCACAGTGCCACTACTGGCTTTTTCTGTTTATGTGGTACTGAGGAATCAAACCCAGAGCTTCATGCATGCCAGGCAAGCACTCTACCACTAAGCCACCTCCCAAGCCCCTTTGGTGTTTTCCTTATGTGGATAATGGAGGGGCTGGGAAGGTGGCTCAGTGGTAGAGCGCTTGCCTTGCATGCCTGAGGCCCCGGGTTTGATTCCTCAGCACCACATAAGCAAAAAGAAAAAAGCTGGAAGTGGCGCTGTGGCTCAGGTGGTAGAGCACTAGCCTTGAGCTGAAGAGCTGAGGGACAGCACCCAGGCCCAGAGAGAGTTTCAAGGACTTTTCTGCCTGGGCTGGCTTTGAACAGCAATCCTCAGATCTCAGCTCCCTGAGTAGCTAGGATTATAGGCGTGAGCCACTGGTACCTGGCCAAAATTTTTTAAAAGGAATATAGTTATGAAAATAAAGTAGGAATATTTAAAATCAAAAAAGATCTATGAAATATTTTAATTCTAGCTGGGCAATAGTGGCTCATGCCTATAATCCTAAGGTATTCATGAAGCTGAGATTCTAGGATCATGGTTCTAGGATTATGCCTAGGCAGACAAACCTAAGAGACATATCTCCAATTAATGAAAAAAAGTTGCAAGTGGAGTGGTCTCTCAATTGTTAGACTACTAGTCTTGAGCACAAATGCTCAAGGAATAGAACCCAGGCTCTGAGTTCAAGTCTCAGAACTGGTACATACAAAAAATTAATTCTGAGACATAATGACATACACCCACATTCCCAGCTGCTAGGGAGGCTGAGGTAGAATGATTGCTGAAACTCAGAGATTAACAGCTAGCCTGGGAAACCAAGCTAATGGGGGAAAGAAATGAAGCATATAACAGAAAATATAGGGCACATATAGTACCAATTACAATTCAGTGTTTGGGTTATAATCTATGGCAGCTAATTTCATTTTCTCATACATGCTCTTGTATTGTCTTTTTCCACATCTTGAATTTTTTTTTAAACAATACTGGAAAGCCTCTCATTTCTCTCTTTTGGGTAGTCTTATTTTTTTCTGGTTGCTCCCTCCTTTCTTCAAGACTGAGTGTCATAATGCTGCCACTTTCTGTGTCTTGCAGGAAGTGAGTGCTTTCGGTGAAGAGGGTGAAGGTGATTATCTGGATGACTGGACAGTGCTCTGTAATGGGCCCTATTGGGTGAGAGATGGTGAGGTGCGGTTCAAACATTCATCCACCGAGGTACTGCTGTCTGTCACAGGAGAACAGTATGGTCGACCCATCAGTGGACAAAAAGAAGTTCATGGCATGGCCCAGCCAAGCCAGAACAACTACTGGAAGGCCATGGAAGGCATTTTCATGAAGCCCAGTGAGTTGCTGAAGGCGGAAGCTCACCATGCAGAGCTATGAGTCTGCATGTTTCAAGCCACTGTCACCACACAGTGTTCACAGACATCTGATGCTGCTTCATCCTGGGATCTCTGTCCTAAGTGTCTTGGGCAGTGGCCAGGTCCCCACTGAGACGAAGGTGCATAGTAGAAAACAAGCTGTTTAGAGGGTACAGCCCTTCACATTTTAATTAGTTGTTCTACCTGTCTTGGGTCAGTCTAAGTAGAGGACCTAGTGAATGGGCAGGTGCTTTTTATTCATACTAATAAGAGAAACTAGGGAAACTTCCCTAGCTGGCTAATTTGTGTTCTTTGGGAACTTGGCATTGTGGATGTTAATGTCTTTATTTTCCCTCATTTTTTTCTTTCTCCAAAATGATAAAAAAAAAAAATGTTAGTCACTGTGTTGTCATTTATTAGGTGGGCTATTTAATGATCTTTTTAATCCTAAGACTTTTGAGGTATGGGGAAACTTCAATGTGGGTCATTTTAAGAGGCTTACTTGGCTATAAAGGCTTATTCCTGTAATCCTAGTCACTCAGGAAACTGAAATCTAAAGATCTCAGTTCAAAGCCAGCCTGGGCAGGTAAATCCATGAAACTCTTATCTCCAGTTAACCATCAAAAAGCTGGAAGCAGAGTTGTCATGACAGGTGGCTAGCCTTGAGCAAAAAAACAACAAAAAAAACTCAGCAACAGCATCCAGGCCCTGAGTTCAGGACTAGCACCAAAAATTAAAATAAAAAGAGGTTTACTTGCCTTCAAACTTTATTTTTTTGCCAATTCTGAGACTTGAACTTAGGACCTAGATGCTATTCCTAAGCACTTTTTCTCAAGGCTAGTATTCTACCATTTGATTCACATCTCTACTTCTACTTCTCCAGTTAACTTTTTTTGTAGTTAACTGGAGATAAGAGTGTCAGGGATTTTCCAGCCTAGGCTGGCTTTGAACTGTGATCCTTAGATCTCAACCTCCTGAGTAGCTAGGATTATAGGCATGAGCTACCAGCACCTAGCTTGCATTCAAACTTTATCCGTGTAACATTACTTCTTCCCAGATAACTCATCTTCATTAGATTTTTGACTAATTATGGCTAAAGACCTTCAAGAAATACAGCAGATTAGTTGTTAGTGAAATGTTTTACTCTGATTGTTACTGCTGATGAGCAAGGGGAACAAGATGAGAATAGCCAACAATACTGTTAAAGGCTAGTTACTGGCCGTTTGCTGGCGGCTCATTCCTGAATCCTAGTTCAGAGCCAGCCCGGGCAGGAAAGTCTGTGGGACTCTTACCTCTAATAAACCACCAGAAAATGGGAAGTGGCACTGTGGCTCAAGTGGTAGAGCACTAGCCTTGAGTTGAAGAGGGATAGTGCCCAGGCCCAGAGTTAAAGACTCACAACAACAACAACAACAAGGCTAGTTACTAACCTCATCTAATCCTCATTTAAGCTACACAGAAATGTTACATGGTATCAGGTAGATATATGTCACTGTCTTACCAAGTCAGAGTAGAACAGTTAAATAACTGCCTAAATTATGAACCTAGTAAATAATTTTGGAATAGGAATTGGTCTGTATCTGACTTTAATTTTTTTTTTTTACTACACTATAATTGCGTTATCTTTTGGAAGTCAACTTTTTTTTTTGCTATTGTGGTTTTTGTTTGTTTTTTAACTTGAAAAATTGGGAGGCAGGGCTAGGGATATGGTAAAATTAGTAGAATACTTATGTAGCATGCTGAAGCTGTGAATTTATCTTCAGCACTGAAAAAAAAAAGTGATGGTGATTCTATACCTACTCTGTTGCCAGTTACAGCTAGAAAATTTGTTCCTGTATCCATCAAGCTTGCAGTGGTGGTGAATAGAAGTGGCTGCCATCTGCTGGAATTTTAATGACTAAGCAAGCTTTTTTATTTTTAGAAACTTTTTTTTTTCTATTTGATTTGTTAATATTGAACATACCAGAACCTAGGCCCCATCTCAAAAAAAAAAAAAGAAAAAAAGGGGCTGGGAAGGTGGCTCAGTGGTAGAGCGCTTGCCTTGCATGCATGAGGCCCTGGGTTTGATTCCTCAGCACCACATAAGCAAAAAGAAAAAAGCTGGAAGTGGCGCTGTGGCTCAACTGGTAGAGCACTAGCCTTGAGCTGAAGAGCTGAGGGACAGCGCCCAAGCCCAGAGTTCAGGCCCCACGACCTGACCCAAAAAAAAAAAAAAGGCTGGGCACTGGTGGTATATACCTGTAATCCTAGCTACTTAGGAGGCTAAGATCTGAGGGTCATAGTTCAAAGCCAGCCAGAGCAGGAAAGTTCATGAGACTCTTACCTCCAATTTACCACTAGAAAATCAGAAGTGTCGCTGTGACTCAAGTAGTAGAGCGCTTGCCTTGAGCTGAAGAGCTCAGGGACAGTGCTCTAGCCCAGAGTTCAAGCCCCATGACCGACCAAAAAACAAGAAAATGGGCAGGGAAAGCTGAAGACCAGTGGCTCATGCCTATAATTCTAGCTACTCCGGAGTCTGAGATCTGAGGACTGAGGTTTGAAGCCAGCTCAGACAGTTTATCTCCAATAAATGACCAAAATAGTAAAAAGCTGGAAGTAGGGCTCTGGCTCAAGTCGTCAATTGCAGAGACATTCAAGGATAGTAGTGGCAACTGAAGTCAAGACCCAGGACTGGCATGCGCTTGTGTACATGCGCGCGCGCGCACACACACACACAAAGGTCTGGCACAAGAGATGGAACACTTGTATATGAGTAATGCACTGATACTACAAGAAAAAAAAAAAGAAAACAACCAAAAAAATGGGTTCTCTTATAAGGACTGAGACTGAATACTATAGCTCCATCTCTTCCTTATTCTATAGGCTTACAATGCCCAGGTCCAGAGTTCAATCCCCACAATTGAAAAAAGAAAAAAAAAAACCTCAAATGCCAGGCTCTGGTGGCTCAAGCCTACTGAGGAGGCTGAGATCTGAAGATTGCAGTTTGAAGCCAGCACTGGTAAAAGGGTCCATTATTCACATGTTCAATTAAACAGCAAAAAGCCAGAAGTGGAGGCATGGTTTAAGTGGTAGAGGGCCAGCCTTGACTAAAAAAGCCAAATAAGAACATAAGACCAGGGGCTGGGAAGGTAGCTCAGTGGTAGAGTGCATGCCTTGCAAGCATGAGGCCCTGGGTTCAATTCCTCAGCACCACATAAACAGAAAAAGCCGGAAGTGGTGCTGTGGCTCCAGTGGTAGAGCACTAGCCTTGAGCTGAAGAGCTGAGGGACAGCGCCCAGACCCAGAGTTCAGGCCCCATGACCGGCAAAAAAAAACAAAAACAAACAACATAAGACCATGAGTAAAAGCTGCAGTATCAACTAACACAGAAAGCAAATATCTCAAATTATGAGATGCCTATAAGAGATCTCAACAGTCTAGGGAGAAGAGAAACTAGCTATCTTAGCAGAATAAATGAAACATTTGAGAAGGGAATAGGGAGATAGGTTTGTAAAGCACCCCTCTTGGACCTGGACTGAGTCCTTGGGTCTTCCCTGAGTATTCAGATGACACTTTCATGTCAGGTTTGGAAGATGACAGAAATGTAATGCTTGAGGAAAAAACAAGGCTTTGAAATGGGCCCACACCTGTAATCCTAGCTACTCGGGAGGTGAGATCTGATTATTGTGGTTTGACGCCAATCCAGGCCGAAAAGTCCATGATATGGTTATCTTGATAACCAAAAAGCCAGAAACGGAGCTGTGGCTCAAGTGGTAGAGTGCTAGCCTTGGGAAGAAAAAAAAAAGTGCTCAGAGACAGCTCTCAGGCCCTGAGTTCACACACCAGGACTGTCCATACACATCCCACCCACCCCCAACCCCCCCAAAAAAGATGTGACAAAACAGAGGACTAGATATGACAGAAAATCAGTTGAAGGGGTGTTTTGGGCAAAACATGAGATTGCACCTTTATCTAAGGGAGCCAAAACATGAAGCTCTACAGGATTAAGTAAGCTGCAGACATCCTTTTTATCGAGATTAGAACATGAGAGCAAATGGACAGTAAATATTACATAATATATGAAGATCTTCAGGATTTCTTAGCTTGTACTTTGTATCATCCATTTATCCATAACATCAGTAATTGTAAGAGACCTTTGTCCAAGTCCCTCATTTTATTAAGGAGATAAAATTGAGCCTGAACGGAATTGACCTTGAATTCTCTTACTTCATGTTTCCAAGTAAGTGATTTGTGTCAAAGGACAACAGTATTCCTAAGGGCGCCATATCCTTTTCCCCTTGGATCGTTCCCCCTTCAATTTGTGCGATACACAATGTAATTAAAGTCCAGAATGATGTCACCAACGCAGCAGGTTAACACATATGAATTGACCAGAACCTTACGAGGACAGTAAACAAAAAATCCATTGAGTCCCTTGTAGATGGAATGAGAGGGGATTTTTGAGGCTTTTTAGTCACCTCATTCATTTGCAGACAGGATTACCTCTGCAGATTCTTCAGTTCAGGGCCTAAGGAGGGCTGGAGGGCTCCCAAACTAGCCTACGAAGTGTAATTTGAAAGTAGAATTCTCCTGGGCCGAAAAGAGCCAGCCTGATCGCGGCCGACCCGGTGAATGAGTGCGGACTCCGCACCCGGCGGACTCGGGAGGGACTGTGCAACCCCAGCACAGCCGGGCGCGCCCGGGTGGGGCGCCCACGTCCGCTCGAAGGCGGTCGGCTCCGCGGTCAGGAGGGGCCCCTTCTCCAGCCACGCCCGTCACTTCGAGCAGTCAGCTTGTCGGCCCTCCGGAGCAGGGGCGCGGGGCGGGGCGGCTGGCTGAGTGGCGGACTGCAGAAGGTCGGAGAAGGCGGCGGCAAACTGGCTGACGCGCGGCGGAAAGCTGGGCGGGCCGGGGAGCGACGCCGCTGGCTGGCTGGCCGGCGCGCGGAGGAGAGCGGAGCGGGGCGGGCCGGGCCGGGCAGGAAGGCTGCTGGCTGGCTGGCGTGCGGCGGAGAGCGGGGCGGGACGCGGTGGAAGGCCGCTGGCTGGCGGGAGAGCGGCCGGGGGCGGGGCGCGCGCGCGCGCACCAACGCTCCCTCGCTCTGCGTTGCCTCTGCGCGCGCGGCTGGTTGGCCCGCGGGCGGCGCTGCACGGTTCCGGCGTCGGGGCCCGGCATGGCGGGGGTCGGGGCCAGGCCGGGCCGGACCCGGACCTAAATGCCTCTGCTGCTTTTCGCGCTGTTGGTCTTGCTGCTGGTTGCGCTTAGCGCTCTCTTCCTAGGCCGGTGAGGGGCTTCCTGCCGCCACAGTCGGGGGTGGGGGTGGAGGAGCGGGGAGAGGCAGAGACTGAGGAGGGGGCGCGCGCAGGTCATCCTGGGTGAGGTGGAGGGGGTGGGCCTAGAGCAGGGGCGCGCGGCGAG